GCCAGGACTCAAAGCAGTACTCATACGGGATGCCAGTGTCATAAGAGCAGCTTAACCTGCTGTGCCACAACACCTGCCCCCAAATAAACTTTAAAAAAAAATTTTTTTTTTAATTTAAGATGTAAACAAAGAGAGGGAGAGACAGAGAGAAAGGTCTTCCTCCTGCTGGTTCACTCCCCAAATAGATACAACAGCCTGAGCTGGACTGATCCGAAGCCAGGAGCCAGGAGCTTCTTCTGCATCTCCCAGGCAGTGCAGGGGCCCAAGAACATGGGCCATCTTCTGTTGCCTTCCCAGGCCATTAGCAGAGTGTGGATCAGAAGAGGGGCAGCAGAGACACTAACCCATGCCTATATGGGATGCCAGCGCCACAGGCAGATGCTTAGCCTACTATGCCACAACCCCAGGCCCCAAATAAAGTTTCTTTTCTTTTTTTAAAGAAAGCTTAAGTGGGAAAAAAAAATCCTTAGGATAAATCTATCAATATAAATACGACCAGAATTGCCTCACATCTCATCTGAAACTTTATATTAGACTCCAATTAGGCAGTATCTCCTGTGTAAACTCTAATCTAAAACTGAGAAGTTGATTCTGCTTTTTCCGTCGTGTGGGGTTCCCTATAATACCTTATCTGTAGACAACACACCAACGTTTGCCTGAATACTAGACACAGAGTGCTGATGCACAGCTGCAAGCCTCAGAGTTGGAGTTGCAACTGTCTTTCAATGATAGATACTGTCGCAGACAGACACAGAGCATAGACTAAATTCATTGAGCATGGATAACACTTCTAGGGAAGATAGTGTCCCATGAGAGTTAACAGGGGTCCTGAAATGACAGCCACTGAGATTTGTCAGACTCAATGTAATGACTTCAAGTAGTAAAAGAAAATGAAATGTCATGGATTTAGGGAAATAAAGAGCTTTCATCAACATGAACTGTTGGGATTTTCACATCCCTCTCTGGAGTTGCAAACACTAAGTAATGGCCCACAGATGAGTGAAAAGAGGCTTCTAAATTGATTCAGATATATCAGGATTGCACTGAAAACCCCTGCAACGGACATGTATTATAGTGTCTGAGTTTGTCTATCATTACAAACAATAGCCACAGTGCTGAAAAGAAAGTATGAGTCACAACTCAAAAACAAAGGAGGAAAGAAACAAATGAACAGAGGAAAGCCTTGGATGGAAATATCACAAAGAAACGCCTTACTTAAAATACTGTCTGTGACGTGGAGTAAGAAGAGTCCACATCGCCCTTCACCCAGGAATACACTCACCCAGGCTCACCCACCCCAACCTCCAGTCATCAACATAGGCAGCCACGTCGGTTAGTTAGCAAGCAACAGGAGACTAGCAGATCTGAGTCACCCACTCCCCCGCAGTAAGAGGTCAATCTCCACCAGGAAGCCCACTCTGCAAAGTTCCCTTGTTTGCCTCCCAGGCTGCCGCCACTGTGACCCACATAAAACTGATTCTCTAGCCTCAGCAGCCTACCCGAGCCTCCTCTACACTCCCCAAATCACAACTCCCACCGGCCTCCTGGAAACACCTCGGCAGCCAATACCGCTCACCGCCCTCACTACTCACTCCTGTGTCAAGTTCTCTGCCTGACAACTCCTCAGCCCGGTGCATCTGGGGCCCGCAGAGTCACCTCTTCGCTCAACTCTTCCGTGCCTCTGCCTTTCCAGGAACTAACCACCAGTTACCTTAGCGAAGCTAAACTCTCCATGTTCTCTCCCCCCAGCCCTACCCCAAGCTGCCCAATTCCCAGAGCTTGCGGAGGGGGTGTGGAGGAGACGCATCTGCTTGCTCCTTAGAGATCAGGCCCACAGAGGCCCCTAAAATTCCAAACACCACCCCCTCCCCAGCCACCCCGCTATAATCAGCCTCTGGGGCGCCGGCATCAAAAGCCGAGCTCGCAGTCACTACAGTGGAGTCTCCGTGCCTCTGTGCCTCCCTTCCCTGGCCGCAAAATCCCAAATAACTCGCCCCTGAGGCCCCCGCGTAGAGGCCAAGACCCCGGCCAAGCCTCCGGCCAACGGAGTTTCCCAGATCGGACCCAGTGCCCCCAAGGCCCGGGCCGCCGGTACCGCTTTGCTGCCCCAGGCCGCTGCACTGCAGGGGCCGAGCCGCGTCCCCTCTCGGCCCCCATTGTTGCGGGTCTCAGCGGCCCCGGCTGGGAGCCGGGGACCGGCACCGGCTCTCACCTCCCACGCCGCGAATCCGGGCCGCGCCGGATCGGGCAGGGCCGAGGGACCTCGCTTCCCGCTGAGCCCGCCCGGGCAGTCTGTGGTGGCGGGGGCGGCGGCTGAGGCGGGAATCAGCCGGCCAGGCCCGGACGCCGAGGACTCGCTCCGGCCGAGCGACGGTCTTCTCCGGCGGCGGCGCTCGCAGCCTCCGCTCGCGGTCCGCGCCAGAAAGAGTCCCCCTCCCGGCCCGCGCGCCCGGTCGCCCGGACGGGAACACGCACCGTCGACAGGAAAGTTCCGCTGAGATGCGACCGGAGGCCCTTGCTCCCCTGAACGGGGCGCACGGCGGCTCCTCTCGGGAGGGAGCCAGTATCTACCTCAGGGCACCGTTTCGGGAGTGAATGCGGCACGAAACTCCCAGGCCAGAATCTGCCTGGTAACAGTTCCAGAGGTGGGTTCAAGGGGATGGCTTTCCGTTCACCAACCACTTAGCGCCTCAGACGAGCCTCCATTCCTCGCTTGGGGACAACCCAGGAGGCTTGTTATTTGGGACGGAGGCGCTGCTAGGAGCCCGGGTGGAGACAGGAGTCTGGGGCTGCACTTGGGGGAGGGTCGTGGATGACAGCGCCTCTCACAGCGGTTGCCTCAGCCTCAAGGAGCCCTGAAATTGTTGTGCACCGCGTGACTCCCGCCTTTTCCTTCAACAGCCTCACCCCCTATCCTGTCTGACGAGGAACTGAGGCCAGAAGGGGCTTTCTTGACCAGTGACGCTCCAGCGGAGGTGAGGGAATCAGGTGGGAAGTACTGCCATCGGGACTCCAGCTCTCTCCCCGCAGCCCGGCTTCCCTCTCCTCCTCCTCCCAAACCGTGAATATTGGCAAAATGATTTTTTTAATACAGAAGTGGATCTTCCGTTGGAAGGTTTTGCTTGTTTTCCCTCATAAAATCAAAAGAATAAAAATGCCTTTCTCATTTCCACCTCCCTTTTCACCTGGGCCTTCATACATCTAGAAACCAAACGCAATGATTTCCACAGCAAAATAATTACAAAAATAAACATGTGTTATCTCAAACTATCCATGGGGAAAAAAATTTTTTTTAAGATTTCTTTGCTTGGGCAGGTGTTGGGGCCTAGCGCTGACATCCCATATGGGCGGGTTCGAATCCGGCCTGCTCCACTTCGCATCCAGCTCCCTGCAAATGGCCTGGGAAAAGCAGCGGAAAGGCCAGTGCTGCGGCATCCTGGGCTAAGCTGCCGCCTACAGTGCAGGAATCCTGTAAAGGCACTGGTTCATGTCCCTGCTGCTCCTCTTCCAATCCAGCTCTCTGCTTAAGGCCTGGGAAAGTGGCGATGGCCCAAGTGCTTGGGCCCCTGCGTCCACGTTGGAGACTTGGAAGAGGCTCCCCTGGCTCCTAGCTCCTGGCTTCTGGCTTCAGATCAGCTCAGCTCTGGCTGTTGCAGCCATTTGGAGAGTAGACCAGCAGACAGAGGACACTTCTCCCTGTCTTTCCCTCTGTCTGTAACTCTCTCTCTCTCAAATAAATAAATAAAAATTTTAAAAAGAGGAGGAAGAAGAAATGCATTTTAACATGGCCACCCACGTGGGAGACCTGGATGAAGCTCCTTGCTCCTGGCTTCCACCTGGCCCATCGCTGATGCTACGGCCATCTGGGAATAAATCAGCAGATGGAAGATCTCTCTCTCCCTGTCTCTCCCTCTTTCTCTGTAACTCTTTCAAATACACAAATATATATTTAAGAGAGAGAGAGAGAGAGAGAGATGTATTTATTTATTTGAAAGGCGGAGTTAGAGAAAGAGAGAGATCTTCCATCTGCTTGTTCACTCCCGAATGGCTACAACAACTGGGGCCGTTTCAGGTCAAAGCCAGGAGCCTAGAACTCCATGTAGCTCTCCCAGGTGGGTGACAGGAGCCCAAGAACTTGGACCATCTTCTGCTGCTTTCCCAGGTGCATCAGCAGGGAGCTGGATCCGAAGTGTAGCTATTGGGACTCAAACTGACACTCATATGGGATGCGGATGATACAGGCAGTGACTTAACCCACTGGGCTGCAAAGCTGGCCCCTCCATGGGAACTGACTCTCCAGAAAGGGCCATGCCACTCATTTGCACCTGAATGAAATGTTATCACTGTGTGATGTTGCAGTTGATTTCTCAACAATGTTGCAGTGGATTAGTTTCTGAGAGGAGGAGCCAGGTGGGGGCAAGAGGCGCGGAGTCACCACACAGACCCCAGGAGTCAGGTGAAAGCAGGCCAGAGGCGAGCAGCCTGCAGACTGGTTTATTTGAGTTAGTACAACAGCTTATATAGCCAAGACCAGCCAATCTGGTCAAGGGGCTGTCTATGCCCCATCCAATCACAGCCTGTTGTCAGGCAGTTTCCAAAGCCATCCAGTCACAGCCTGTTACCAGTCAGGCTCTGTTGTCATGTGGTTTCCTCTGTTGTCATGTGGTTTCCGAAGCCATCCAATCATGGCCTGTTGCCAGGCAGTTTCTGTTGTCAGTGGCCATCTTGGCATGAACTTTTCACCTCAGTGGCCATCTTAGCATGAACTTTTCACCTCAGCGGCCATCTTGATATGACCTTTTCACCTCATTCCACCACAGTGTTGCACACATACACACCTGGTTTTCCATTTAGCCTCTCCTCTGGAAGTAGTGAAAAGGCTCTGCCTTGGCTGGCGCCACAGCTCACTAGGCTAATCCTCCGCCTTGTGGCGCCGGCATACCGGGTTCTAGTCCCGGTCGGGGTGCCGGATTCTGTCCCGGTTGCCCCTCTTCCAGGCCAGCTCTCTGCTGTGACCAGGGAGTGCAGTGGAGGATGGCCCAGGTGCTTGGGCCCTGCACCCCATGGGAGACCAGGATAAGTGCCTGGCTCCTGCCATCGGATCAGCGCGGTGCGCCGGCTGCAGCGGCCATTGGAGGGTGAACCAGCGGCAAAGGAAGACCTTTCTCTCTGTCTCTCTATCTCTCTCACTGTCCACTCTGCCTGTCAAAAAAAAAAAAAAAAAAGAAAGAAAAGAAAAGAAAAAAAAGAAAAGGCTCTGCCTGTGGAAAGGCATTTTGGTGTTCTTCTGGAAAAGGCAGGCTCGTGGATTAGAAAGCAACAAGCGCCAAGCCTCTGGAGGTTCTGTGCTTCCTCAAGCAAGAGAAACTTCATGCTAGATTCTTAACGGGCAAAGGATGCCTCAATAGCTGGCTCACTTCTCTCAGTAGCCTAACACTGATTGGTACTCTGACCATTCCTTGCTGGGGGCCTTGTATCCCATATTAGAGTGCTAGTTCAAGTCCCACTGTTATGCTGTCCATCTAGCTTCCTGCTAATGCATCCTGGAAGGCAGCATATGATGATTCAAGTACTTGGGTCCCTGCCACCCATGTGGGAGATCTAGATGGGGTCCCTGGCTCCTGACTTTAGCCAGGCCCAGATCCTGATGTTGCAGGCATTTGGGGAGTGAGCCGGTGAATGGAAGACCTCTCTCCCCTCTGCCACTCTGCCTTTCAAGTAGATGAAAAAGAAAAATATTTTTTAGAAAGCTTTTATTTAATAAATATAAATTTCATAGGTACAGCTTTTAGAATATAACGGTTCTCCACCCCCATACCCACCCTCTCACCCCCAAAGTGTCCTACCTCCTACTCCCTCTCCCATCCCATTCTTCATTAAGAAAAAGAAAAACATTTAAGAAATTAAAGAAGGCAACTAAGTGGAAAAACTGCTAGTGTTCATAGATTGAAAGATAATATTGGTATGATACCAATACTATCCAAAGTGATCTAGAGATTCAGTGCAATCCCTCTCAAATCCCAACAGAAAAACCCATCCTAAAATTCAGGTGAAACCTCAAGGGATCCCAAATAGCACCCCCAAAAAAGTCTTGCAAAAATAACAAAGTTGGAGGACTCACGTTTCCTGACGTCAAGACTTACTCCAAAGTTACAGTAATCAAAACAATATGATATTGATGCGAAGATTGACAGATAGACCAACTGAGTAGAATACAGAGCCCAGAAATAAGTCCTTGTAGTCGAATGATTTTCAGCATTGGTGCCAAGACCATTCAATGTGGGAAAGACAATTCTTTTCAGCCAGTGGTGCTGGGAAGCTGCATCTCCACATGCAAAAGAATACCTTACATCCTATGGGAAAATTAAGTCAAAATGGATGAAAAATCTAAATGTAAAAGCTAAAACTATAAAACTCTTAGAAGAAAACATATGGGGAAAACCTCATGACACTGGGTTTAATAATGATTTATTGGACTTGAGAACTAAAGCACAAGCAACAGCAGAAAAAAATAGATATGTTGGCCTTCATCAAAATCAAAAGCTTGTGTGCAATCAAGGAACATTATAAATGAAAAAGCAATCCATGATATGGGAGAAAATATGTTCAAATCACTTATCTGATAATAAGTATCTAGGACATATAAACTCCTACAATTTGATAACAACAAAATTAAAGCTTATATTCAAAAATAGATGAAAGACTTGAATAAATGTTTCTCCAAAGAAGATATATAACATGGTCAATAAGCACATGAATAGACATGAAACATCACTAATCACTGAGAGAAATGCAAATAAAATAAGATACCACTTCACACCCATTAATGCGGCTATTATAATTTTTAAAATATTTTTTATTTATTTGAAAGGCAGAGTTACAGAGAGAGAGAGGGAGATCTTCCATCTGCTGGTTCACTCCCCAAATGGCCACAACAGCTGGGATTGGGCCAGGCTGATGCAGAAGTCTGGAGCTTCTTCCAGATCTCCCATGTGGGTGCAGGGGTCCTAGCACTTGGGCCATCTTCTGCTGCTTTCCCAGGTGTACTTGCAAGGAGCTGGATTGGAAGTGGAACAGCTGGCTCTCCAACTGCTGTCCATATGGGATGCCAGTGTTACAGGCAAAAGCTTAACCTGCTATACCACCACAACACCAACCCCAAAATAATTTTTTGAAAAAACAGAAAATAAAGCGCTGAGGCATAACAGATAAATCCACCGCTTGAAGTGCTGGCATCCCATACAGGCATCAGTTCAGATCCTGGCTGCTCCGCTTCAGATCCTGTTCTCTGCTATGGCCTGGGAAGGCAGTGGAGGATGGCCCAAGTACTCAGGCCCCTGCATCGACGTGGGAGGCCCAGAGGAGGCTTCTGGTTCCTTGCCTCAGATCGGCCCAGCCCTGGCTGTTGCAGCCATTTGGGGAGTGGGCCTGCTGATGAAAGAATTCTCTTTTCTGCCTCTGCCTCTCTGTAATTCTGTGTTTCAAATAAATAAATTTATTTATTTTATTTATTTATTTTACACGGGGGGGGGGGGGTCTTCCGTCTGCTGGTTTACTCCCCAATGGGCCGCAGCAGCCAGAGCTGCACTGATCCGGAGCCAAGAGCCAGGAGCTTCTTCCGGGTCTCCCACATGGGTGCAGGGGCCCAAGGACTTGGGCCATCTTCCACTGCTTTCCTAGGCTGTAGCAGAGAGGCGGATCGGAAGTGAAGCAGCCAGGTCTTGAACCGGAGCCAATATGGGATGCCGGTGCTTCAGGCCAGGGTATTAACTCGCTGCGTCACAGTGCCGGCCCCCAAATAAATAAATAAATTTTTAGAAAGAAAACTAGAGGCCGGCACCACAGCTCACTTGGCTAATCCTCCGCCTGCGGCACTGGCACCCCGGATTCTAGTCCCGGTTGGGGGGCCGGATTCTGTCCCAATTGCCCCTCTTCCAGGCCAGCTCTCTGCTGTGGCCCAGGAAGGCAGTGGAGGATGGCCCAAGTGCTTGGGCTCTGCACCTGCATGGGAGACCTGGAGGAAGCACCTGGCTCCTGGCTTCAGATCGGCGCAGCACACCGGCCACAGCATACCAGTCGTGGCAGCCATTTGGGGGGTGAACCAACAGAAAAAGGAAGACCTTCTCTCTGTCTCTCTCTCTCTCTCTAACTCTGCCTGTCCAAAAAAAAAAAAAAAAAAAAAACTAGAAAATAAGTTATTAGCAAGGATATGGAGAAATTGTCACCCTTGCATATTAATAGAGATGTAAACTGGTATATCACGTATGGGA